GAAACCATTAACTTGTCATGTATCTATTAGATTCCTAATTGTGATCATTTATCTGATATATACCGGTGACAGGAGAGACTACAATTAGGAAAGAGGTGTTTTTAACCCTGTAGAAGTATGGGGTCACAGCCTCTCCGTGCTGTTTAAGTGTTGCTGACATGGTTTCTCTAGCAAATAAGTTTTTATGAGATGCAGTTAGAAAGAGTTGCTCATCTAAAAAAAGCTAAGTTTTCACAATTTCCAGCTTAAAGGAGATGGGTGTTTGCATGCGAATCAAATTTCAAACGGCGCCTATATACTGGCGAAAAGGTTGATTATGAACTAATCACATGTAATCAGTATTCAAAAATACAATAGAAAAAAGCGAAAGTGTTTCAGATTGTAGCAATTGGAGCATCGACGTAGAAAAGATGAGGTGGTTTTACAAGCTTCCAGTTAATTTAATTTTTCCCAGTAAGAGAATTTTGTAAGGATCAAAATAATCCGAAGGTGCAAAGTCGGGTGAATATAGCGGGTGTACTAGGACATCCCATCCAAACTGTACCAATTTCTACCGGGTCTTCAAAAAGTCGTGGGGCTGGTATTTCATCAGCAATTTCCTGACGCTTTTCACAGATTGCTGCCTTTAATCGGCTTAATTGAGAACAGTACTTGTGTGAATTCAATGTCTGATCATGCGGCAGGAGTTCGTAATCAACAATGCCCTACCAAATCCACCAGATACACAGCTTCACCACCTTCGCATGTAGATCGGCTTTTCGTTTCTCGCTCCAAATTGTTGTAAACAATCAATTTTTCATTGCCTGTTATTTTTCTTTAAAAAAAATGAATCGTTTTTGCTATGTTTAAACATAGAATTACAAATGGAAATGTAGTCCATTAACCCAAACCTCGTAGCTAAGTGTTTTCAAATACCTTACAACACTCATATAAGAATTTTAGTATATGTCTGTGATGTGCTATGTCGTTGGACCTAGATTAATCAATGTTTCGATTTAGTCATCATCAACCACAGCAGGCCTACCAAATGTTCCCTATCTTCCAGATAAGAATTCCCAATTCTGAATTGACTGAACCACTTAACAATACTCTCAGCTATGGAACCTTCTCTATAAATGGAAAATCATTTTTTGCTATCTATACAGCATTTCTTTTATTTTTTTTCAGAAATGAAAGAACATCACATGGTGGAAATGCATGTAATTTTTCTATATTTTCACTTTTAATGTAAGAACATTTAAAATTATCAGTCCACACATGATTCGTATAGAAAAACTCGTTAATGCATTACCCTTCAGAATATATTTATATATCAGAAATGTCAGTCACATATGAAAGGAATTCACATGTTCCTGTTGAAAAACGCTACTAACTTTTGTTCTAATCTAATATTTTATATGAGTCGAAAATAGAAATATGAAAAACACCTAAAAGCATCGCCCATTTCATATTGATAAAGCACCAAAGATGAAAATACTAATCCAAACTCACACACACACACACACACACACACACACATACATTCATTTTGTCACAAAATTTGTAAGGTTCTGGATAATTTCTGTTTGTCTGATGGATTTACTTTATTGTATGAAATTAAATTTGATAGTTTCTGTTTTAGCTTGCACACGTGAACAAGTTAAAACAGAAATTATAAAATTTAATTTAATGTAGTAAATCAAACAAGCAAAACTTATCGAGTACTTAAGAAATTTCCACTTCAAATCCATGAAAATCGAAGTACTTAGCTTCTGGTTTTGCCATAAAATCTAAAATTGAATTAAGGTTCGACTCAATGTCGGAAGCTCCATATGAGCAGAAATTTGTCATCTGCGTATAAATAGTTATATAACACCGGAATTGTGAATTTTAAATGTAAGTCATTCATCTAGTTGCCATGGTGCAACGACAAAAGAAAATGTTTCCAAGGTATACTGGTCCATACTTGAATAAGCCATTTGACCGAAGAATGAACATTTTAACTGAATTTGAACGTTTGCAAGTTTGTATTTCTATGTGTTTGGGTTTAATATCTACACCTGTCTTTATAATCTTAAAGCTAAATGCTTTTGTTATGATTTACATGCGTTGTAAATGAAAGAAAAGTTACGTACTAATTCTGAAACTTCTTTTTATTTAATAGCACCAAAATATAGAATATTTGAATACAGAAAAACAGAAGGATTTTTGGTTTTTCTTTTGCTGTTGGACTCGTTTTTTCTTTGCTTTGAAATATGCAAAATGAGTTATCTTCTCTCCGTGTTACGATGTATTTTTCATGTAAACAAAAGGCCAAATTTTACTAATATATGTTTACAAAACCAACATTGTAAAGGTTTTTGTTGTTAACCACAACTTTGTATTTCTGACTCCAATGAGGATTTTATTGTTGCCGCTTAAAAATCAGAGATATAGAACGATATCTGAACACGCAATGCAGAATGGAAAATGTGCAATAAATTGATTTACTTGGAAACGTAACAAATAAACAGATATGTATAGCAAACATAGACGAAAATACACAGCAATGGTTGAAAAGGAAGAATATGGTTTGTTTTAAATATTGTTTTATTATTGATGAAGATACTGTTTCCTCAATCGCGAATATTATAATTACGCAAAGAAAAGTAGCTTTATGTATTGGTTCATATTTAATCACTCAACATCTTTATTATTGTTTTAATGAAAACGTTATTTTATCTTTAATAAGGTTACAAGAAGACACTTTGAATTATTTAATATTTAAATGAACTTAATTATTTTACAATCTTTATATGAATGGTGTCGGGATAATACCTCATGTGTAATGAGATTAAGCTGCATACTTTAAAATATCATAAAATGACATAAATCACAGATGGCAAATGAAAGTTCTTTTCAAAAGTATCATTTATTTAACAGACCAGATAACTATAATTTCATTTTCCTTTATTTTATCCGATAAATTGCAATTAATAATTACCAGAAATAAAAATTTGCCACTTATAAAGTAATTGTCATTCTTGTGAATTTGATTTTTCTTCACTTTATTAAGGTTTTGCTTCCTCGATTACTTCTTTTTTGCGTAATTATATATTTAAAGTATAAATGGCTTCTATTACTTTTTATATGTTTTATCTTATGAATTGGTATGTAGATAGTTGCAACATATATTAAACGAAGGTTTCGAAAAATTCACAAAACGTTTTTACTAAATTGTATATCACAGATCAAAGTTTAAATATACTATCATTAATTTAAAGGTTCTAAACTGATTGATGTTATCAGTTATGAAAGTTTATTTTTAAGGATTTAATTCTTAGTGGTAATGAATACATACACAGAACACATTTTGCAAACTTCAATTAATAATGAAATTCAATGTTATTCCACAAAGCTACGCTTAAAATTAAGTAAGATATTCCTCGTGTACTGATACAAACAATCTATTAGTAAACTGTACTATAGTGGATCAATAAATCTGTAGTCTAACAAGTTATTATTAGCTGGATTTTGATCTGAACATTTCAGTGTATAATGTTCGATCTTACGGTTCGATTTGTAATTAATATAAACTACTGGTAAGCATTGACAATTAAGGTGATTATATTAAAAATATATATTTGTTTTATATATGGTCTTTTTTTTTTCATTACTAGGCTCCGAATTTATTGATGTATCGACGTATTTCTAACGTTGAATGTTTGATAATATCCGTTCTATTTTTTGCTATACTTTAAATTATTTAGAAATATACAGGGTTTATGGCATTTGGGGATTTATAAAAAATAAATTAAAAATTATGATTAAATTCAGAACAGCAACAATCATCGTTGTTTCTTGATGACAATTCATTTTAATTTTCTTGTTCATTCATTTTTAACTTTTTCTGATAGTTTGCATATTTGTCACTATTTTAAGAATACAGACCTACTTAGGAAGCAAAACAAAGATCAACTGAAAGAAAAATCATTATAGAAAGAATTAACAAGTTTTAGCAAAAGTCAATTTCCCTTTGCCGTAAACCGAAAAAAAAATGCCAAGTCATAAAACAAAATATAGTCTGAAATTCGAGATATGCTTAGAACATTTATTTACAAATTACTATAAAATTTGTTATTTTGGCTTTTGTAAAATATGTTCCACCTGTTTTTACTAATATTTGAAAATGCTGATCTCTATACAAGCACACAAATGTATTGTGTTACAATGTAGGAAGATTGGGTTACACCAGCTCTCCAATGGTGTGCAGATTACTTATGAATTTTGGAATTCAGGCCTCTAACTGCATTGAAAGACCAACCAATGTCTCCACAAACTATAGGAGTATATACCCACTTAAGACTTTTACCTGTCTTTAACATTAGAAAACTTACAGACCAAAAAGGTGGTAAGATATCCATTTTCTTCGTCTTTTGATTGAGTTGATGTGTTCTTTGTTCTATACGAATATCATTAATTTCATATGAGCTGCTAATGTATGAAATGTTGTTGCTTGAGGAAAACTCGGAACTTTGATGTCTTTTAAAGTATTAGAAATTAGAAGTGTTTGTAAGTGTATAGTGTGAGTATGTTGCATAGGCATGAAACAACTATAAAAGTTGTTATAGCAGTTATAGCCAGTAGAAGTAGTAGTAGTAATAGTAGCAGCAGTAGTAGCAGTAGTAGTAGATATTGATTTCCATTTTAAAAGTCTATATCTCAGCATTACTCAAATAATTCACAAACTGAAAAGAAACTGACAAAATATTTTAACCAATCGGTTTAGTGAAAAAAATAGCAGTTGTAAATTAGCTGAATGTGACCAATGGCAATCGTTTACAGTGTCCAGTAAAGGTTAGGCGATACTGACTGGTTTTTTTCATTGGCTTCTGTTTTTGTTTCTATTCTTGCTTTTTATTTTATTTAACTTTATTTTGTTTCATAATTGGTATTTTACTTGCTGTTGTTGTTGCTTTAATTTTAAAAAAATCAAACAGTTTTGAAGGAAGTTCCAAAAGCTATAAAACGGGACTGTTTCATTACGCGGGAGATTTGTCCAGCGTCAAACCACCAGGATTTGGATTCTCGGAAAGGTCCTCTTGTTCTACATCACTTGAAGGCTTGATACGAATGAGTGAAGTGACTACGTGTTTGGCAGCCCACCGCATGCAGCCTGATTTACACCACATCTGATTAAGATTTGTACTGCATGTGCTCGACCACCAGCCACCTCCGTAATGTTCAGCACAGTTACCGGCTCTCCAATCGTCATTGTCACGGTCACGTGTTGAGAACTGTTTGCCACGAGAATTTTGGAAGCCGTCAAGGTAGTTTCCAGCAGTCATATTGCCAAGAGAAATTCGGTATTCGTCTAATTCGTCCGACAAGCTAAAGTCTTCGTAGACACCATAGTACCATTTTCCAGTGGAACCTTTAGCATCGACGCGTAGAGTATAGGGCTTGTTTTTGGTCAACCTGTACAAATTTTCCAGGCCTTGGAAGAACTCTCCAGAGAAATTGCCAAATCCAGACAAGTAATCATCGAAATCCCTGAAATTTAAAATAAATGTGAAATAAAAAGTGGCAAGAGGAATTTAATAAATATAAATCAATGGATCCTACCAACAACTAGCACTTAAGATGGAGACTTACATTTCTGATTTTTTATCCATTTCCTCTATCAAATCTCATACAGTAAGCGTATTATATGTCCAACAATTATTTTATCGCCATGGAAAAGTAGATTTTGTTATGAAACTGCCTGCATTGGCAAAAGACTTTTTAATTACTTTTAAAAAGGCCTTATTTGCCTTTATTTCGGGTCTACAGCAGTAAAATTTATAAACCCACTAAAAGTATATATATATATGTAAAGGTTTCACGTCTGCAAATTAAGCTATGTATAATTAAGCTATGTTCAAATGTATAAATCGTATGGAGTATTATTTTTTCAGAAAAGTATAATTGTATTTTCTTTTCAGTTTTAAAAATATTATTCGAAATTAATCCAAAGTTAAATCACAACATAATTATTTTAGTACTACTATAGGTTGCAGTCCACCTTCCAGGTCATTTACAGTTTAGCGTTCATTCTACCTGCACTTTTACACTTCAATATGTAGGCTACCTCCACTACAAGTCACAGTATAGACTACGAAAACTGCGGTAAAATAGTACTGGTATTGTTTTTACCAGCTTAACTATTTTAACTAGTATATTCGTGATTTGAAATATTAGCTTCCGTTATAGCGACCTTTTTTAACATAAAACTTGCATTTATTTATAATTACCTGTCGAAGTCTTCTGATCCATCGAAACGTCTCTGCACAACTGTCCACCCCTTAACACAGAAAGCACGTATAGTGTATGGAGACTCATCTGGATTTAGGAGGTAAACTCCGGCCTTTTCATGTCCTTTGCTTAAAGCATCGCTGCAGTCTAAAAGATAAAAAAATGACTAAATAGAATATCAACTCTAATCAACTGAATGGAAAACAAATATTTAGTTATGAGTTTTAAAAAAAGATAGCAAAAGTTATATAATCTTGGTCATTACATCAAGGAAGAATACAACACAAGTAGAATTCATATTCTAGTATTCTTTTCTACTTATTGATAAATTATTTATACTTATTATTGGCCAAGACTTTTACAGAGGTGTTTTACTATTTCTTTCTATTTGAGTCTCACATCTGGTTTTGTTTGTATGTTGACCTTTGCCTAATAAACATCATACCAAACTTATACATCCTATATAAGGTATTTTTTGCAATGATATTCACCCTGCAAAAGGCCCAAGAGCCACTCTATGAGGGTTAAAGATTAGGAGGTACAATTTATGCGGATATATGGGGAAGATAACGGTTAATACTAGACTTGAACAAATTAAGATTGTAGTTGATCGAGAAAGCATCTTAGGACTCGGTTCGTTTTTTATTATCAACAAAAAATAAAACTTTGTTATTTTCGCTAATTTTCATTGTCAATTGTCAACTAAATTGATGTTTTTTTTACAATTTTCTAGTTAAGAGCAAATAATTAAAAAATGCGTAAATAGTAAGTATTATCGATTGAAGAAAATGCATATTCAAAAGATATGTTTATTTATCTTCAACTGTTTCTTTTTTCATTTCAAATGAACAACGCAAATTCGTTCGGTTAGGTTGCATTTTAAAAGGTTGTCGTAGAAAATGGCCTTTAAAACAGTAATTTTTACTTAGAATTTAATTGCAGTCAGGTTTACTTGAATTTTAAACCTGCGAAAATGTATTTGAAAAGTACGTAGTTGTGCTGAAAATTACATTGGTATCCTTAAAACTGTAAAGAAATGTTTTTCAAATTATATAAATCATAATTATAACAGAGATACTTAAACGAAGCATAGACGTGTATAGTCTTTCTCTTTCAAATATAACATTTTTGAACAGAGAAGCTATGTTTGAAAAACATTGAATCACACACTAGCAGTTATAAAGATGAAAATTGGATTTAGAAACAATCGTCTAAAGAATAGTGGTCTAAGGAATATTGATCTAAGGAACATTTGTCTAAAGAATATTTGTCTAAGGAACATTGGTCTAAGGAACATTGGTCTAAGGAACACTCGTCTAAAGAACATTGGTCTATGGAACTTTGGTCTAAGGGACATTCGTCTAAAGAATATTGGTCTAAAGAATATTGGTCTAAGGAACATTGGTTTAAGGAACATTGGTCTAAGAAACATTGGTCTAAAGAATATTGGTCTAAGGAACATTGGTTTAAGGAACATTGGTTTAAGGAACATTCGTCTAAGGAACATTCGTCTAAAGAACATTCGTCTAAAGAACATTGGTCTATGGAACATTGGTCTAAGGGACATTCGTCTAAAGAATATTGGTCTAAGGAACATTGTCTAAAGAATATTGGTCTAAGGAACATTGGTTTAAGGAACATTGGTCTAAGGAACATTGGTCTAAGGAACATTCGTCTAAAGAATATTGGTCTAAGGAATACATGTCTAAGGACATTTGTCTAAGGAATACTCGTCTAAAGTCATTGGTTTATGGAATACCCGTCTAAGGACCATTGGTCTATAATATATTTTTTAATAGATTAACACTTCATTCATGTACGAAATACTCAATTTATTGATATCCACTATATTACTAAATAATATTTAAGATACTTATAGCAACATTAATTACTGATGATACATTTATTCGCATGCATTGTTTGTATATTAATACAGCCCGCATTAGACTATAATTCTCTAGACAGATATTCTTTAGACGAGTGTTCCTTATACCAGTTTTCCTTATACCAGTGTTCCTTAGACAAATGTTCTTCAGACCAATGTCCTGGATCCCATGAAATTTGCTTAAATACCGAGAGTCCACGTGGAGTCAAGCTTGTCATTAATTCTTTGAATATCTTTTTATAAAAGATTAGAAGATTAATAAAATTAATAAATACCAAGTAATCTACACGTTTCTTTATCTACTTTGTGGCTGTATAGGTTTTATTTATCTTCTTGAGCTTCCATCAGTGCATCGCTCTAATCCTGTTCATATCTAACTCTGGCGGAGTCAATTGGCTACTATGGATTTTAGTGAAACAATGACGTTTGAGGCCAAATAGATCCAAATTGATTTCCATTGCGAGCAGGAATCTTCCAACTCCAATAAATTAATTCAAAATTATCTATGTTCTCGCAGTTTGGCTATTTATGTATTAATAATTTACTTCGGTAGTATACTGTGTACACAAACATTTATATATAGTGAAGTTTAGAAAATATCTCTTTTTATTTCAGTAAATTATTATTTTTTTTTTTATCCATAAGCCGAAAAAAACAATTTTTTTCTCTCGGCTATGAAGGAATTGGTCTTTTCTTCTGTTTTATCTGTTATAGCATTTCTTGTGGTTTGAGGGGAGACAAATACCTTTCTTCAGTTTTAGTTCACCGCTAGGACCCACCATGCCACTTACATGGTAACAAACCCCTACCTACATTCCCTCCGTATTCCAACGGCAACAAGTAAGCAAACAGCTTTTTTCCCGCGTACCGCTGCTCTGTGGAACAGATTCCCAAGAGAATGTTTTCCCCATCACTACAATCTTAACCTCTTCAAGTCTAGAGTTAACCGTTATCTTCCCCTCCTATCCATATAAACTACACCTTAACGTAAACCTCTACATCCAGAGCCCCCAGGCCTTGTGTAAGTTGAAACTTACTGTAAAAAAATTCATCAATTTTGCTATTAAAGAACAATAAAAAAATTTACAAAATTCCTCTTCATAAAAATCACCAATACACAAACACAAACGGCTATAGACCAAAGTCATACAAAAGCCAATGAGAAGAAGAAGAAGAAAAAATATATCCATAATATATGGGTAGTATCAATAGTGAGCTATTTGAAATACTTCCTATACAGGTCAAAAGAAGTCAAATCGATGGATTTGGGAATTCATGATAATGCATAAGAGTCTACACATCAGAGATTATAGCGAGAGATTTTATCTAAAGAGAAATGGAAAAGAAGCCATCGTTTATCATAGACTACGTTCAGTCAGCTAGAATAGTATTTGCGAAATATGACGCATATGAAGAAACATGACAAACATTCGTAACAGCAAAACGAGGTCTGTACAAAATTAAAAACGAGTGAAAAATGAGGAACTTGTCAAAGAAATTTAAAAAAAAAGAAAATATTTGTAGAAACTTTACAAGAAAATTGACGAAACATCGCGTACTTGAATATACAAAAGTTACCAACAAATAGAAACAGGGTTCCTTATTATTTCGACACAAAACAAATGTATCAGCAACAATTCTATCAAAACAAAAAGTAACAAAAAGTAAGGAAGAGACAAAATTGAAATTACATCATAATTCAATACAGAAATCTCACTCAACATTAAAACAGATGTGACAAAGTAGAAACAGGGGTATACTAGGAATTGTGTAAACGAAATAGAGTGATCATGTGAAAGAATAACATCAGTACAAATATATATTTCCAAGAAAATAGAGCAGCATAAAATACTTTGGGAATTTGAGATACAAACAGACCATTTAATCTATATACTGTGTCGGGGGAATGCCAGTGTAGTGGACCGTTGGGGTTATGTTTTGTTAAATTAGGAACACGTGCGTTTATTCCTGCTACAGGAACATGGCAGACTCAGAGATTGAATCCACCATAAAGAAGTGTAAAGAAAACAAACAAGACCGATATATATATATATATATATATATATATATATATATATATATATATATATATATATATATATATAGACAAGCATATGTATTAAACAACAAAATTTACAATTGACATAGACATTAACATTTGTGCTTGTGTGTGTGAATGTAAAGAGTTTGTACTTTGGTGAATGTTCGTACGTACGTGTATGTGTGTATAATGCCCATGGCGTCTCCCACAAATGGGAAGACGCAATCTTCTGCGAGAGCTTACAATGTAGATGTTTTCACTGAAAATGAAGAAATGAAAAAGAGAAGGAGGCAAGAAATCGCCCAGTATTTATAGAGCGTGCCCTAGTGAACAATTTGGAAATCAAGGAGGAGTTAACTCCGACACCAGGTCCTCACCCAGAAACTGAGGAAAGTGTGGAATATGAATGTTAGGATCGGGACCATAATAGTTGACGCACTTGAACTAGGGTCTGCGAGAATACTGAGAAATGCACTAAGGATTTGAGAATTTCTGCTATTCAATTTCCAAAGAAAATCATCATATAATAATTTGGTGTAATAATAATAATAATAATAATAATAATAATAATAATGATATCTGTCTATATTTCTGAGATTAAGTATTGTAACTACTTACACTATTTATATCTTTCGACAGTCGTCCTCATCTTTATTGCCATATTCACGACGTTTCGGCCGTTACCCGCTCCGACCTTCTTCAGGTGATATACGTTGGGATTTCGAACCGAACCTTTTATTTAGTTTAGGGGTAGATTGTTCTAATTCTACGTATCATGCCTTTTTTGAAAATCTCAGTATAAGTTAATTCCCTTTAGTAACTCAACTTTCCAAGTTTTTGCTCTCTCTCCTGTGGCCAGGTATTGAGCTCACAACTCTTTAGGTCAAATTACTTTTTGGATTATTCAACCAACACTTTTATCCACTGGGAATGTGGAATTAGAACAATTTACCCCTGTGGACTAAATAAAGGGCTCGGTTCGAAATTCCAGCGTAAATCACCTGAAGAAGGTCGGAGTGTACAACGGCCGAAACGTCGTGAATATGACAATAAAGATGAAGACAAATGCCCGAACGATGTAAATAGTGTAAATAATAATAATGATAATAATAATAATAATAATAATTATTATTATTATTATTATTATTGTTGTTGTTGTTGTTGTTGTTGTTGTTTTGGAAAAGTTTTCTCAAAAATTTCCTTATCAATATATGTTTATGT